GTTGTGGGTGTCTGCTTCTACTTCCACCAGCTGTTGGATGAAGGCTATAGGATGGCATATAAGTCAGTCATCAATCTCATTATCAGGGGAGGGCATTTAAAGTAGCTTCTCCTCTGTTGCTTAGATTATTAGTTGGGGTCATCTTTGTAGATCTACAGACATTTTCCCTAGTGCCTGATTTCTCTGTAAACCTAAAATGTCTCCCTCTATTATGGGATTCTCCTTTCTTGTTTTCTTCTATTCTTCCCCCAACTCAACCTTTCTGCTCCCTCATGTCCTCCTCACCCCTCCTCTTTTCCCCTTCTCATTCTCCTAGCTCCCTCCCCCCCTCCTGTGCTCCCAATTTGCTCAGGAGATCTTGTCCCTTTCCCCTCTCCAGGGGACCATGTATGTCTCTCTTAGGATCCTCCTTGTTTACTAGCTTCTCTGGCAGTGTAGATTGTAGGCTGGTAATCCTTTACTCTATGTCTAAAATCCACATATGAGTGAGTACATATCATGTTTGGTTTTTTGTTATTGGGTTACCTCTCTCAGAATGGTTTCTTCTAGTTCCTATTGGAAGACAAAGTGAGAAATAGCCTTGAATTAATTGGTATGTGTGGTCAGTTTTGAAGAAAGTTCCATGAGGTGCTGAGAAAAAGGTATATTCTTTTGTGTTTTGGCGAAATGTTCTGTAAATAGCTGTTAGCTCCAGTATTCCTCTGTATAGTTTTTGTCTGGATGACCTGTCCATTGGTGAAAGTGATATATTAAAGTCAACCACTATCTTTGTGAGGGCCAATATGTGATTTAAGCTATAGTAATATTTCTTTTGCAAATTTGGATACCCTTGTATTTGGAGCATAGATGCTAAGAATTACAATGTCCTCTTGGAATTTTCCTTTCATGTAGTAACCTTCCCTATTTCTTGCTTCTTAGGTCTATCTTTTAGGTCTATCTTCTTAGGACAATCTTTTTCCAGCGTTTTATCCTGAAGTTATGTTTATCCTTAATGTTAAGGTATGTTTCTTGGATGTAGCAGGAGGATGGTTCCTGTTTTCCCATTCATTTTATTACTCTGAATTATCAATGAGCAGTGTTTGTTGATTCCTACTATTTTGTTGCTGTGGGATGGGGGACGGGGGAGGGGGGAGGAGTCACCCTTTATTTTGACTTAATGGTCTGGGATTATTTATTTCTTGTGTTTTCTTGGGTATGATTAACCTATTCAGGCTGAAGTTTTTCTTCTAGAGCCTTCTGTAGGACTGGATTTATAATAGATATTGCTTAAATTTGGGTTTATCATGGAATGTCTTTTTTTTTCTCCATTTATTGTGATTAAAATAGTTTTGTCTGGAAAATAGTCTAAGCTGGCATCTGTGATAGTTTAGAGTCTGTAGCACATCTGTCCAGGCACTTCTGGCTTTTACAGTCTCCATTGAGAAGTCGCTGTTATTCTCATGGGTCTGTCTTTATATGTTACTTGGTCTGTTTCCCTTGCAGCTTTTATTATTCTTTCTCTGTTCTGTGTGTTTAGTGGTTTGATTATTATGTGCCAAGGGGAATTTCTTTTCTGGTCCTATCTATTTGGAGTTCTGTAAGCTTCTTGTACCTTGATAGGCATGTCCCTTAGATTAGGGGAATTTTCTTTTGATTTTGTTGAATATATTTTCTGTGCCTTTGACCCAAGTTTCTCCTTCCTCTATTCCTATTATTATTAGATTAAGCCTTGTCATAGTGCCCCAGATTTCCTGGTTGTTTTGTGTCTGGAAATTTTTTTTGACATAACATTTTCTTTGACTGAGGTATCCATTTCTTCAGTACCTAAGATTCTTTCTTTCATCTCTTGTATTCTGTTGGTGAGGCTTGCCTCTGAGGTTCCTGTTTGAGTTCCTAAATTTTCATTTGTATAGTTCCCTCAGTTTGAGTTTTGTTTACTGATTCTATTTTCACTTTTAGGTCTTGAACTGTTTTATTCATTTCTTTCCACTGTCTGTTGTTTCTTAGATTTCTTTAAAGGATTTATTCATTTTCTCTTTAAGGACCTCTATCACATTTGTAAAGGCTATTTCAAGGTCCTGGCTTGTGTTAGAACTATGTTGTATTTCTCAAGGGCCTACTGTGGTTGAATTGCTAGGCTCTACTAGTACATATTATCCTGTCTATTATTGATTTGCTTTTATGCTGATGTCTAAGCATCTGGGTTTGGAATGATTTTCATTCTAGGTGCTAATATCTGGTTTTATCTTTTGGGATGGGTGTTTTGTTCCTTGATATCTATCTATTTATTATTTATTTATTTATTTTTGCCCTTTCTGGTTATCTTAGGAGGATATAGTGGCTGTGTGTTCTGGGTAGGTAATTCTTTTGGGATCCTGATAGGTGTGGTCACTGGGAGGTTCCAGTTTGTATGTGTGGTTTGAATGTAATTGGCCCCCATACGCTCTTTAGGAATGGCACTATTAGGAGGTATGGCTTTGTTGGAGTGGGTGTATCTTTATTGGAGGAAAGGTGTCACTGTGGAGGCAAACTTTGAGAAAGATAGTCTTTCTGTCTCAGACCACTTCCTGTTGCCTACAGGTCAAGATGTAGGACTCTCAACTCCTTTTCCAGCACTGTGTCTGCCCGCAACTCCATCATGTTGTACCATGACAGTGGACTAAATCTCTGAAAATGTTTGCTATCCAAATGAAATGTTTTTCCTTTATAAGAGTTACTATGGTTATGGTGTCTCTTCACAGCAATAGAAACCTTAACTAAGACAATGTGTTTCTAGGTATTGGGAGCTGACACTTAGGAATGGGAATGGACTAGGAGAGGGAATGGTGAATGAGTACATGGGAGAATGGAAAGTGGGTTGTTCCACCAGGATCTGCTTGGAAATGGGGCAGAGAATGAGGAGAGGTCACAATGGCTAGCCAGCTTCAGAGCTGGGAATGAGACTGGGAGATTGAATTTGGAGGAGATGGGACAGTGAAGATCTGAAGTGCAGCTCCCTGCTTCTCTGGCCAGTTTGGCTACTGAGTTCCCAGAGAATGTCTGCTGGAATGTGGGGCTGGGACAATGGGATGAGTTGGGGGAAGAAAATTTGAAGGAGAAGAGTTGTGTGATCTGCTGAAGATGGTGGTGGATAGGGGTGAGGATGTATCAGGTGGTCTGCTACAGAGCAGGGGTGAGACTAGGGGATTGGATTTGGGGTAGAGGAGGGAGAGATGGAGATCTGCAGCTAGCCTAGCTGCTTCTCTCTTAATTCAAACTCTGTAGTTCCTTTCCCTGCATACATGGAAAGAGCAGCATACACAGAGATCGCCAATACCGAGGCTGATGGTATACCTCAGTTTACCTAGCACCATCCATGTCTTCTGTCATGAAACTTCAATGACATTCCTTTTCACTTTCCAATGCAGCCTGGTTTGAACAATAAATTCCTACTTCTCATGTACCTATAGCCAATAAAAAGCTACCTGTCTCACCAGTGAATACTCAAGGCAACAACATGAAAATCCAGCTTTCATAGCTCAACTTCGTGGTATGGGTTCATCATTTTCAAATGTTCTTAGAAAGACCGCTGGTTTCAAACAGACTAGAGCAGATAGATCATCTTGGGTTCCCACTCTTTCAAGCATCTTTTTTTTGCAGTTCTCTCTGTATATCAGCAACACGAATAGGGAGTCTCAGCTGCAGACTACCAAATCTACTCCAAATATCCAAACAAAAGGAACTTTATATGAAGTATTTTCATCTTCCAGACTGTGACAGCCTTAGGACCCAACCTATCTTCAGCTAGTGATGATGCAGCCAAAAGAAATGCTGACTAGACTGTCAAGTCAGAAATGTCAGGGCTCATCACCTGCTGCTCACCATCTAATGTGCAAGTGGAGAGTGGACCTATCACCACAGCCTCCCCAATGCCACTCCTTTGTGTGCACTCTGAGTTGGGTGGAGGGGTATTCTTAGTAAGCCTAGGTCATGTGCACAATCTGAAGAGGAGAATGCAATGCTGGCTCCATCACAAGGAAAGCACATTCCTGCTTTGGAGAGATGGGGAATGAAGCAATCTTCAGCATTCAAGTCTTCTAAGAACTGGAAGGGATCACAGGGGAATCCATGAGGAGGAAAGGGGAGCAAGAACATGGTGGTGGCTCCAGAATTTCCACTAAGCATGAGTTTAGGGGACACTGCCAGTGGGTGGGGATGAGAGGTTTGTCTGCCCCAGCATTTGCACAGCATCCTCCGTTGCTTGTTTCAGGACGCACATGGTAGCCTACAGAAGTCTGCAGCACATGAATGAGGCCAGCCCAGGCTCACAGCCAGACAGAAAAGGGCATGACTGTCACCCCTACCACACAGCTGAGGACCTGCTGCTTGTGAATGACAAAGCCCTTGACTTGACAGCTTAAGAGTACCAGGCCCTCCCTGCCACAGACTGACAGCAGATTTCTGAAGCAGCTCTAGGAAAGAGAGAAAAGGAAGACTGCTTTTAAAAATAAAACTCCAGTGTAATTCCTGTGTGTTGGGGGAGATGTAAACTGTTACAAAACACTTAAAGATCTGAACTTCCACTGCTGCCTCTCTCCGCTTCCCTCACTGTTTTTTCAGGGTTCTATTGCTGTAATGAAACACCATAACCAAACCAACATGGAGAGGCAGAACCTAGAGGTGGGAGCTGAAGTAGAGGCCATGGAGGGGTTTACCCACTTGCCTACAGCTCAGTCTAATGGAGGCATTTTCTCAGCTGAGGTCCCTCCTCTCAATGACTATAGATTGTGTCAAGTTAATAGAAAACTAGCATCATGCTGCCCTTCTCTCTTTCCTTGTCGTGCTCAAGACATCAGTCCTGCTGATCAGACCCTATGGGGTCCCTTGAGATCGTTTTTCACTTCCCCAGGTCTACCTATCAAAACCAATAGATGCTAAAAACCAACTCATTGCCAAAGTATTTCCTTTTTTTCTTTTTCTTTTTTTTTAATCAAACAATTCACAAGTCAGACAGAATGGAAGAAAACAAGGTCTTTCAGAAATGGCTGTGGCCCTGGTGAGGAAACAGAAACTTATGCTGCTAAATATAGATTTTGCAGATCTGTTGGCTCCTCAGCTCGTAGCATTCAGCTCCTTGGCTCCCCAGCAGCTCCTTCTCCTCCCCTGTATCTAGCTCTCTCAGAGGTGGGAAGTGGGCAGGAGATGTGATGAACTCATAGTGACGGTCCAGATAGCGCAGGTAGATGAGCATGTGCAGGGCATAGGCCAGCACCAGCAACAGTATCAGAGACATGGCCAGGCCAATGAGAACAGCGGGTGAGAAGGCAGAGCCACAGTCTCTGGCCTGGGCAAACTGGGCCCCCTTGATGGAGAAGCCTTGGATCTGTCCGGAGAAAGAAAAGAGCAAAAGTGACCTATGCCTTCCATCTAAGAGTCAGTTCTCAGTATGCTAGTGATTAAGGGCTCCAGTTAACCAAATTGTATATGTTGTGTTTGGTTTTAATTGTCAACCCCAGAATTTGGAACCACCTAAGAAAAGTGTCAGTGAGGATACATGTCTGTCAGATTCCCTGTGGACTCGTCTATGGGGGAGGATAGTCTTAATTATGTAAATTAGTGTGGATAGCACCATCCCCTAGGTTTAGGTCCCAGACTGTGTAAACATGAAGTGAGCTGAGCAGCATGCATGCAGTTATGTTCTTGACTGTGGAAGTGGCTGGCTGCCTCACATGTCTGCTGCCATGACCTCCTGCAATGATGGGCTGGAACCTGGAGCTGTGAACCAAATGAAATATTCTCCCTCAAAGAGGCTCTAGCTGGGTATTTTACCAAGCAATGGGAAGGGGACTAGTGCACATACCACTACCACATTGTAGAATAATTTAAGCACCTGATCAGATAACTATGATTCTGTGAAATTTTGTTCGAGGGTTCACAGGGTAGCACAGTTGGCCCCAAACTCACTACATTCCTCCTGATTCAGCTTCATGTGTTCTGGCATTACAGACAGGAGTGCCATCCCTGGCTTGAAATTTGATTTTCAAAGCAAAACCAACCAAACATTTGGAGATGGATAAACTGTGGCAACTAAGTCTCCTGCAACTCAAGACTCTGAAACAAAACTTTTTTGTAATTCAGTTCTTAGGACTGTGTGAGTTCGTGTAAAACCACACTCAGCTGTGTCTCTAACTCAAGCATATTCTGGGTCTGAGATGTTCAGCCTTTGAAACCTCAGACAAGAAGAAGTTAGACAGCATCTCTCGGGGAGAACATGAGTCCTGATACAGCAAAAACAAACAGAAACACAGACTCAAAGGCTTTGGGTACACTAGATACTCCTTACCCAATTTAGCTTCATGACAACCTCTGAGCAAGGGACTATTTTCCTATAACTTAAGAGACTAGGGCTCAGCAAAGTTCAGCAACTCACCTGGAGTAACAGCAGAAAACGCGTGATGAAAAATTTACACCTGGGTGAAAGGTTCAGGCATTATGCTGGCCTGCCCCTGTTACCTGGTGGAACAGGCAATACCCTGGTCAGCCCAAGGTTCCATGGGAACTAAGTCTGCACGCAGGTGCAGAGGACCCCTTTAAAAGATAGGCCCCTGCCCATTTACGCTCTCTGTTCCCGCTCTCTGTGCTCTCTGTTCCCCCGCTCTACTCCGTCCCCCACCTATGCTCTCGCTCTGTCTCTCTATGGCAACCGGCTGTGACGGTCAGCCATTTACCCTGTTCCTCTTCTTAGTCTCCCCATTCTGCCAGGCCTTATAATAAACTTATAGTCAATATATCTGTCTCAGCATTTCTCTTTTCTTCTTTTTAAACAAAAGAATAACACTGGGAAACCTGACTTCATACCTAGACTCAGTTTATGACTCCAGAGCTTCTGGTGTCTTCTCTCTCTGTTCCTCATGTCCCTACCACATGGGCTGTACATCGGTTACAGGCAAACACCATGCCATTTTACGTAAGGAGCATGAGCATTCATGGATTTGGTACCTATGGGAGGAATTTGGGTCGGCTGAGGGACAGATGTTTATTCTGTAAGAAAGACCAGCAAACCTGCAGTGTTAAAGTGGTCTTCTGCGAACACTCTTTTCCCCTGTCCTGACCTTGCATTCTTGCCTCTTTTTACATTCTAGGTGCTTCCACTAGGCGAGGATATACATTTCCTGTGGAGAGACTGATGTCATGCGTACACATTGCATAGGCCAGGAGAGAACTGTGCTCCTCACAGCGAGCTCTCTGGAGTCTTGGGGGCCTGTGAATGTATGCTGAAGTATCCCTTATGCTGTTGCTCCAAAGCTTGGAGTCAAAATTACTGTGCCTCATCCAGCCAGCAGAGGGGTTAATCCTGTGGATTTGTAAACCAGTCTCACTGTTAGCTTCGGAGTCATGTCTGGTCCTTTCTCTCTTTCCTTCCATTCAAAATCCCCACCCCTGATCTTTGCCCATGTATTTTGTTTTGTTACTTTTGTCACAACATACACATAACAAAAAATGTGTTGTCTTAACCTTTAACATATGGTGGTATAAGTGGTATTGCTATTCCATGCCTGGAACAGTCCTGTTTCACACATATAAGGCCATGCATGTATCTTCTACATTAATGAAGATAGGTCAGAGATTGGCAAGGGTAAGTAACTTAGTGGTGAAGCAGAAGAGTGATTTTCAAATCAGGTTTGCCTCACTCCAAATGCACGTTCTTCCCTTCCCCTTGGCCTTTTGCCAACACTATACCTCCCCCAAGCAGAGAGGAATACACATAAATATGTATACCCATGTATAGATGGAGAAAGCAGGAACTTGCCCTTATAAGGGACAGCAAAGCCATGCCTGCTACCTCAGTGAGTAATCACTGGCCACAAGTAAACAAGATAGAGGGACTTGATAGAATGCCCCTCAGCCCAGAGAGGATTCTGGGATGTTGGGGTACAAAAGTGCCTGTCACATTCCCATGCCTTTCTCCCAAGGTTTTCAAGATCTCTGGGCTATTTTTGACTGGTTGATGATTCCATTCCCAAGTTAACTGTCAACGCCGTCTTTCACACTGCAGATGTACTTCTTATCAGCCCCGATAAGATCACTGCTTCACTCTCAGGAGGGAATAAAGTAATTACCCTGCAGTGCCTCTGCCCACAGAGCCTCTGGGCCCAGGAAGTGTCAGTCACCAGGCTTCAGCCACAGCTGCACTGGGGTTTAGATAAGTACCTAGTGAGTGGGTAATCAGGAAAGTAAAAAATCGAGCCCTGGAGGGCTCAGGTGGAAGAACTTCGCCATCCTGTTCCATCTCGTACCTCAGAAGAGCCCAAACAAACCAATGCTACCTTAAAGGCTCTTCCTTTAAACATCTTGTTTTGGGTGACTTCAACAAACACTGAGTTTCTTTGGCACTATGTATGTGGGTGTGTCAAGCATACGTTTTAGTTTATTACCTGGAAATCAATAAATGTGACCTCCCACAGGCTTGTCACATCGTCAGAGCTGCTAAGCAACATTAGAGCATCATTTCTCCGCAGACTGCTGACTCGCTGGCAGCGGTAGGAGTAACTTGACAGAGCGTATATACCAGTTGCATTAAAACTTGCTTGCACTGAGTTGTTGAAGATGATCTCGACTCGGTGTAAACTAAACCAGCTCTGACTGGACAATTTGTTGTAATTGGTTAGGGTGAGCCTGAAAAAGATTGAACATGAGTGTTAGCCCCAGATCTTACTGTCGCCTGCAGAGCGTCATCTGTGAACAGTACAATGGCGCCCTCTTTTGTCAGACTGTGGACTCGAACTGGGGAGAGGCTTCCCTTTGGCGCCAAACAAGAGCTTGTTGTTAGTGACTGCCAACAGGAAAAGAGCAACACAAAAATCCTAAAAATGGGGTGGGGGGCAGGTATTTTTTCTTTTTCTAAGAATCAAAGTGTATGTTTATCATTGCCACAAATTTGATTAAAACTTATATGTACATTAACATAGAATTAAATTGTCATAAAATAATAGTAATAGCTTTCTTCTGTGCCAGCCACACTTGTTACTCATGTATATTTACTTAAGCTTACTGCTGCACTATGAGACAGACAATATTGTTATCCTAGTGTCACCTATGAGGACCTGAGTCCAGAAGAACAAAATACCTTGCCCAGTTTCTCTCAGAATGTCGTGTTTAGTTGTCTTCAGATGCAACCTGAGACCAGCACCGTCAAGGCTAACAGCTCTGAGGTGGAACATTCTCTGATCACAAAAACATATAATGGATGCAGCTCATGATAACTGTCTTTTACTTTTAAAAAAATGAGCTATTACACAGAACAAAAGTCAAGAATGATGGGATCAAAACATGAGCAGTAATTGCAAATATGGGATGGATTATCAGTTACTTTTATTTTCTTATCCTTGTTTTTGTTGTTGTTCGTTTTTTCGAGACAGGGTTTTTCTATGTAGCCCTGGCTGTCCTGGAACTTGATCCGTAGACCAGGCTGACCCCAAACTTATGAGATCTACCTGCCTCTGCCTCTGCCTCCCAAATGCTGGGATTAAAGGCATTTGCCACCACTGCCTGGCTTATTTTTCTTATTCTTGTGGCTCGATATTTCTGATTTTTCTGTTTTCATGGGTTTTTATCTTATTTTGTGATTCTGTAGAAGCAGACCCTGAGACAAAGACATGGATGTAAAGATTCGGTCATTCAGGTATGCAGAATGGAGAAAAGAGCAATGGCAATGATAGATGGGAGATCGTCACTGGGGAGGATGTTAAGTGTGTTTTCACAGTGGATAAGGACCAAATGGAGATCCTGGGTGTCAAGGCAAAAAAATAAAGACACTTCTGAGCAGCCTCACTTGGGGTAGAGAAAGCTGGGATGCTTATACTCTTCCAGGACAAGCATGGAAGGCATAGTCCATGTTGTATGTCTGGGTCGCTCAGAGATTCACCATAACCAGGAATACATTTTAAAAGAAGAGCCTCTTTATTTAGATACTGGCAGCCAGTGTGGGGCCAGGACTGCCCCTGAGACCCATCCCAAGATGCAGACCCTAGCCAGTCAGCCCAAGGCTCATAAAGACAAAACCCACAAGATTACATGCAGTCTGCCTCTGGGTCAGCAGGGTCTAATTTTAACATATATATCTTGCAGTGTCTTAGTCATCTTTTTCAGCAGAGTAAGCAAATTTGATTACAAAAGCAGAAATAGCAGTCAGTTTTATGACCACTATCTTGCTAGAACAGCAAATTTTACAAGATCAGTCAATTTAATAGTCTTCAGCATCTAAGAGAAAAGGGCAGTGGGCTGCTACAGTGCAGCCTGTACAAGGTAGGGGCTTACATGTTAGAGGTATTTTTTGCTTTTTGTATAAACTTTGAACCATCACAGCTAGGGTTTCTATTGCTGTGATTAAAAGCAGCATGACCTAATCACCTTGAGGAGCTAACTTCCTGGGTAACCATCATCACTGAGGTAAATCAAAGCAGGAACTCAACAAAGTGGGAACCTGGTGACAGGAGCTGATGCAGAGGACATGGAGGAATGTTGTCTACTGGCTCGCTCTCCATGGCTTGCTCAGCCTGCTTTCTTAGTGAACCCAGGACCACCTGCTTAGAAGTAACACCACCTACAGTGGGCTGGGCCCTCCCACACCAATCGAAAATGCCCAACAGCCTTGCACACAGGCTGGGTTTAAAAGGAGGTATCACCCGACACAAGAAAAAAATCGTTTGCCTTCAAATTTGTTGAATACTGGCTGCTAAGATAAATCATTATCAGTAGGTGCAGCCTTCTATCACAATCAGAGAAAAATGTAGGCCTGTATTGACTGCCTTCTGGGGAATTATGACAGCAAAGATTTCTCCACTGTAGTCAAATCCTGTGATTCTTATAAGAAGCTATAATGAATGACCATAAGCAGAGCCTGAAGCCTGTTGGACTTTACTCAGTATTACTGTTTGTTCTGGGTTCTTAGTTCACATACTCTGAAACCTCTCACTGAAGAGAGTGAGGAGTAGAGGTGTTTGGATAGTGGTTATAAAAAGAATTCAATAATAATTAATGTTAAAGAAAGCATTCCTACCGGATCCTTTTACCCATCACCACTGAATTCTCAGAGTACTAAGCTATGTATGAACTTTGATGTATAGAAAACATTCCTGCAGAATCCCATCAGACATGGCCACGGGCCCCTCAGTGTACTTAGATGTGGATCTGATGTGTCACGGGCAGGGTACATGCTTCACATTCACAGGGGAAGTGAATAAATTAAATAGAGCATGTTATACCTAACATGCTGAAACTGTAACACTACCTACCTTATGTCAATATCCTTGGGATTTTCAGCATCACCAAACCTTAAAGACAACCTAAGAAAATGGAAACAACATAGTTCATCAAAAGAGGAATGGCTCAGACTGCACGATAGCTCAGCTGGTGGAGGCACCTGCCTCCAGGCCTAATGACCTGAGTTCTGAGATTAATGTCTGGAACCCACATAGTGGAAGGAGAGAATCAATTCCTGAAAGTTGTCCTCTAACCTCCACACAGACACAATGGTTTGAGCACACTGGCACACCTGCACACAAGTGGACAAGCACACATACACACACAGATAAAGAGTCAAAAGTTAATAAAATTTAAAATATGCTCAGCATTTTTGGGTATTAGGAGAACATAAAATAAAAACACATTCACACATAATAGAAACAATAAACAGAATGATTAGAATGTCTTAGATGCAGAACTCACAAGCTTTTGGTAACTTATATTCATGCATGTTTTTTCTGAAGGTAAATACTAGCTTTCCTGGGTCAGAGATAGATTAACTATTGACTCAGGAACAACAGTATTAGTTCTCTTCTTGACATAGTTCATCCCCTGGGTAGCACAATGAGAGACAGACATTAGTCTACCCATACTGGGATCTGGGTTTTACAGTGGAAGTCAGAGTCCAAAGTTTATGTGGAGAGTTGGTGGCCCTTTCCTCACCTCCTGAATATGACAGAAAAACATCTGTCCCCTCAGTGTTCACAGAGTCTCCTTGGGAAGAGAAAAGAGGAGACCCTGGGCCTCTACCCTGGAGGTAAATGGCAGAATGTCATCAACATCTGGATGGAAGCAACTGGCTTACCATGAACCGCATGAATGGCTGCACATTTAAGATCTATGTCTCATAAATGTCTCCAGCAGGAAGATGTGTCCCTTTGGCTCTCCAGGCCTTTGCCATGCAGAAGCATTGCCCTAAGGTGTAACTTTCTTACTAACTCTAAAGCTTATCCTTTAGCCCAAGGCCAGTGAATTTGTTCAAAAAGTATTAACCACACAGAAACATTTATAAAAGGATTTTCTCTACAACTTCACACCGAAGAGGACCTGAAGCAAGTGGGTAATCCTGCTGGGAAAGCAAAGTGGTTCATTTTCAACTGGGTGGGAGGTGTTCATCCACCCGGGAAGTACAGGCAGGAGGTTCAGGAGTTCAAGGCCAGCCTCAATTACAGAGAAAATTTGAAGCCAACTTGGAATACAAAAGACAGTGTCCCAAAAAATAGGGCTTCACTTTTTTTAAAGTTTGGAACCAGGTTTGATGTTGCGCTTCTCTAATATAATCACTTCTATAATATAATCACATTCTGCCACAAAGACTCAAACAGGAATATTCATAACTATCTGACAAGTTACATAAAGGGAAGTGGCAAACTTCTATCATCAATGGGTGAATGGATAATTAAGTTGTGATATACTCATACAATGGAATGCTGCTCAGCAGTGAAAAAGAATATTGCATTGATCACAGAAAATGCCTAAGTCACTACGTTAAGTGAAAGAAGCCACACTAGATAAAGAACACACTATATGGCTATATTTACATAAAATTCTAGGAAGCATAAATTAACCTTGAATGATAAGAACTAAACCAATGGTTACCTGGAGATGTGGTAGTGATTCAAGCAATGGATTACAAAGGGTAACAAGTATATTTTAGACATGATGAAAGTGGTTATCTTGGTTGTGGTGACAGGTGTGTGTGTGTGTGTGTGTGTGTGTGTGTGTGTGTGTGTGTCAATTAACCACAAGATACACTTTGAATTTGTGCATGTTACTATTCTTCATTCATATTAGGAAGTAGAGTGTTTATAATGAGAAAGTAAAAGAAATTTGAATATACAAAGAATGATGCTGCTATATCAATAAAATGTCTAAAAGTCAAAACATAATAATATGCCTTAAGACACCAAAGAGAGCAAAAGCAAATGGTATCGAGAATGAAAGATAGCATGCCATGATTTCCTCAGCTTGACCTACTTCCAAGAAACAGAACTCTGTAGTAATTCTGTTTATGAGGAAGGGAGGGAGGGAGGGAGGGAGGGAGG